CGAGCTCCGGAGACTCCTCGTCAGCTGCCTCTGACACAGGAACTGATCAGCAACACCATCGCTGAAGACATGGGCGGCACCAAGATGCGAGGGATGCCTGAGATCGCAGCAGCACCAGGCGGTGAGGGCCTTGCCGAAAAACAAGAGCCTCCTTGCTCCTTCGGTTCGTCTGAAAGCAGGCGTTGACTACGCTCTGGCCAACATCGACTCCTGGAGCAGAGTCCTGGCCCTTGTTCAGAAGCCGTCACCACCGACCTAGGAGTGCCACGATCATTCTTGTCGTCGTATCATTCTCACATTACCCAGTAATCAGACATTGTGATGGCTGCCATCTTGGGTTTATGTGTTTGCGCATGCCGCTTGACAACAACAGCTACTCGACGACGGCTACTAAGACTCATGATGATAGTGGTGCTTGCTTTCTGTCGGGCACTGCAAAGTTCAGCTCATGCGAAGGAGAGCGCTGGGTGGAAGGCTGGGTCCACAGGCCAGCTCGCTCGCAAAGGGTTGATGGAAGCCATGTTTGCTGTTGCACTGCCATCGGCGCCTATTCCGGCCTGGTTTCCCACGTGTAGCAATCACGAGCCATGATGGGTTTTGGGAATGCTGACCTTTGCGGTGCCAACACTGCTAACATTGACGCAGTGGCAAATAGCTCGGCTGCGGAACCCAACGGCAAGTCATAGCTGGTCTCACTACGTGAGTACGATCTAATTTCATGGCGAGTTTACTGCTAGTGCGTTGCTATGTTCGATAGATCCGACAAGCCACTGCCGCCAAAACAGCTTGACGTAGGCATCGAACAATTCACGGGTTCACTCAGCTCACAGTGCCGCATGCTGGTCTGATGTTGCTGGTCTAATGTCACTACCTGCGGGCAGGTTGTGCGTCCGCCCGGAGCCCAAGGGAGTCGTGCTGATCATCGCTCCGTGGACACTGCCTCCTGCACAAGTACGTTGTTTTTGTTTAAGCACTCTCTTCGTGCTTTCCAAGGCATCGGACATGCATGGAGGCGACCAAGCCTGAATTGAAGCAGCCGTACTTGTTGTGAGGAACGTGCCGTGGCAGCTGCTTATCCGACCCCTGGCATCCGCCATTGCTGCTGGCAATTTGGCCGTCGCATGCATCAATCAAAGCATGGCAATGGCGAGAGAAGTAATGTGGAAGCACCTCATCGCATGCTGATGGAGTCATTTGTGCAACGCGTGTGGGTTACAGAGCAGCCGAGGTTTTGAAGCCAAGCGAGCTCAACCCAAAGACCTCGCCACTGATAGCCAAACTCATTCACAAGTACATGGATCCAGACTGTTTCAGGCAAGGCGAGAATGGCCAAGTGGAGCGAGTGTGATGTCATCATGTTGCCAAAGAAGCTACACGAACGGCTCTTCCGTTTGAACGTAGCAGGGTGATCGAGGGTGCCGTGCCGGAGACCACAGCGCTTCTGAACAACCGCTGGGACCACATCTTCTACACAGGCCGGAGAAGACGGACCATGTTCCATCGCCAGACTAAATCTGACACCCTGATCCCATCGATTTGCATGCGGAGACGTCTGGACTGTGTTTCAGAACTTTCTGGAAAGGAAACGGTGCAATCGGGCGTGTTGTCATGGCTGCAGCCGCCAAGCACTTGACACCAGCAACTTGCCAAGAGACATCTGCCATGTAGGGTTGCAGTACCTCCCGTTGGAGACGATGAGGGTCGAAAAGCCCCCCGCACGTAACTTTGAGGATCCTTGCCGTCAGCACACCCTGAGAACAAATGTGCGTGCTCAATCGCATTTGGGAAGCCCAGGCAAGCAAACAGAAAGCATGCCTCTTAGTTTTACTGCTGCTCAGCTTGTCTGAGGTGACCATGGAGCTGGGCGGCAAGTCTCCGGCATCTTGGCCATAGTCCGGCATGCGAGACCAGTAGCGGTAGTCGTTGTTGTCGCTTCTTCTCGCTGAAGTTGGTACAACAATGACGGCCCTTCACCAAGGTACTTGTTGACGAGACTGCGAAGGACGGGACAAGCTGCCAACCTACAAGTCTGAATTTGTAGTTACGTGACGAAAGTGTGATTACGGTTCCAGCACGGCATCGCCTGCTTCGGTGTGTTTCTTTAGCTACTTGCATGGCCCTGTCCAGCTGGATGTGGCCTGCGGCCGCATTGCCTTTGCCAAGTGGATGCTTTGTGGTCAAATTTGCGTTGCGCCTGAGTCTTGACTCGAGTTCCTTATCGTCACGTAGTTGCGAGAGTTGAGACCATCAGCAGTACATGTAGCAAGTCGGTACATGGTCTCAGCAGGAAGACACACGGTTGGATGATGCACTCCGGAGCTGAGGACTACGTGCTTGTGCACAGGAGCAAGGAGAAGGCGTTCATAGAGAAAATGACCGAACTCGCCAAGGAGACTGCTCATGACTTGCTTGAAGTTTGCCCCGTCTTGAACGCCATGCCAGCGAGGCCAGCTATGGAGAAGACGGCAGGCAGCAAGGTCGGTCCGGGGTCAACTTTCCCCACAACCCGGGTCAACCCTATTCCTGCCCGCCCTGCACAGAAGATTACGGGCACCTCGTGAACGAGCGACACACTGAGCGAGTGGAAAAGTTGATCAAGACTTGCGGCGGAGAGGTCGTTCACGGAGGAATTGAGGTCGGGCCTTGGGCAGACCGAGCAGTTGTACCAAGTTAGACGTACCGATCCGCTGTGCAGGGCGTCCGGAACAGCGAGTGCTTCGTACCTCCGACCATCATCAAGCAGCCGAACATGGATGCTCCAATTATGAACCGTGGCTGGGGTAAAAAGAGGCGGAGAAGTCAGGGCCCCGTGTCGTACGCACAAGGAAGGAGGAGATCTTCGGCCCGGTCCTGCCCGTCATTCCCTATGACAATTTCGAGAGCCTCTGTCGAATGGATGCTGTCATTTCTTGGTTTCTATCCGTAGCATCTACGTAGCAGTGTACGCTTCTTTCCCGGCTCCTGTGCTTTGTGAGGGAGGCACTGGAAATCATCAGGAAGGGGGAGATCCCGTTGGCTTTTTATGTCTTCTCGGAGAGCTCCCGTGCCCGGGTGGCCATAGCATTCGCTTTCAGAGTTGTTGGCGGAGGCTTACAGCACACTCTGAAAGCAACTCTATGTTCAATGTACGTAAACCAGCTGTTCTTCTCAGCCCGTGCAAGCTCGCATGCGATGATTTCCAGGCAATGTGGAGAAGGCTTTGACCACTGTTCAGAGTGGGGGCGCCGGAGTGAACACCACCTTCGAGCAAGTCGTTCCGGAGTCTATTCCATTCGGATTCTTGGATGAAGCCTCGGAGGGATAATCTGTCATCTCGAAGACCCCGCCCTGTGCGCAAAACCAGGCAGCGCGAACCGTGGGAAGCATTTCTTCGTACGCAAGCCCTAGATCCTAAACCCCCCAGCCCCATCATGAACTTGCAAAGCTTAAGCTAGATGAAGCTGAAGGTGGCTTGGGTGAGTCGGGATTTGGAATGTACCATGGCAAATTTGGCTTCGACGAGTTCAGCCACCAGCGTGCCATCGTGCGGAAGCCCCTGACTTACTCTTGTTGAAGCGTTGATCCAGCCTGCCATGCCTACAGTGGTGCGATCGTGCCTAGATAGGCAAGCTGAGGGTGCAACGCACCACTACCTATTATAGAAAATCGGGTGAGGCCATCCCATTTCTTACAGTGTTTGCACATCATGTCTTTTTTGTCATGTCGAGCCAGCCATGTCCAGCGTATTAAATCGCGCGTGAGTCTCCGGGAGCAAGGTCCACTCTTCCCGGCTTTGGTGGTACTCTGATCCCGTTGCCGCAGGCGGGCGGAATTTCATTGCCGATTGGCATGTGGTAGGTATGCCGTCGCAAGTGGAAGCCAGAATTCTCAACATGTTCAGATGCCATATTCCGGTCTCTGTGGATTGGTGATTTGCAGCTTGTTCAAAAAATTCGCAGGCTGGGCAAAAGCTCCCTGACTTCGTTTACCCCCTCGTTGCAGAGGGCTCGGATGGTAGGTGCTTTTGTGCTGCGTGTGGAGGGTGAGTGGCATTTTCCAGGAGGGGCTTCTGAGAGCAATGAGGTCAGGCTCCAGTTGGGCGTGCTCCCTCAGAGTCTGAAATCTTGCTGGCGTGGTGTCTTCCACATGTGCATGGCACCGCTGCTGGGCAGACCTTCACGTTAAGATGGCGTACTCCTGCTCTCACGCTTGTCGCGACGCGAAGTTGATATCACCCAGAGTCTGCGTTGTTACTGCTGTCTTAGGTTTCGAACGCTGGCTGGTCAATGAGGCCGGTGATGGCAAAGCCATACCGACCGAGACAATTTTCGAAGCACGCTGGCTGACGGTTGCTCAGACCTTGGCCACCGAGCCCCTTTTCCGCGGCTTTGATAAATCAAGAGCTGCTTTTGACACTACACTTCTGGATTCTGTGTCCAGAAGAGATGTGCCGCACAGAGTCCGGGAACACGTTGGTGCCGGAAAACGAAGAGGTCATGCGGTATGTAACGTCCGAAGAGCGCCACGCGTCTTTGAAGCGAAGGCCTTCCTAAAGGCAACGGGCATTCTGAAAGAGCACAGGAACAGGAATCAGGTGACTACGGCGTGTACGGCAGGCATGCACCCAAGAGCGATGAAACGGTGGCAGGTGCATGCACTGGGCACTGGGAGCTACAAGTAGCAGACCGTGTGCCGTGTAATTATCTGTGTCACAGTGGTCAACGGGGCAGTCGCTCCGAGCTGTTTGCCGCCTGCGTCCCCGTGGATTGTTTGCTTCGGCATCGCGCGCTACTTCGAACCACTTCAAGCTTCGCACATTTCCAGCGGAGCTGGGCTGTACATAGTTCGAGCTTCATGGGTTCAGCAAGGCCATAGCCAGCTCGGCATGAGATTGTATGTATCCAATCAATGTCGATACTGAGCAGCAAAAGCATACTAACGGGGCTTACCTACCGAAGCATGCATACTTAATACACCACGCCTTGCAGGAAGCGGCCTGTTATCACCACTGCACATTTAGCATGGCTGGTTTCGGGCGACCACTGGTTGAGGCCGGGTATGTAATCGCTGCTTCTTGCCGACCGGCATGCATTGTACCATCGTGTGCCCAACTCGGCGGTGGAATCTCCGTGTTCAGATCATCAGCGAAGATGCGCTGGTTCGAATTTGCTGCTTTCTTCCCGCGCGGCCGCTGCTGGACGGCATGCCCACATGATGCTTTGATGCTTTAACCACACACAAAGCCTGGAAGGACCTTGGCGCGACCTGCGGCGAGTTCCACCAACGCGTAGAGCACTCGGTTGACTTGTGGAAGGCAAGGGGCGGAAAGCAATTCTGTTGCATTGGCCTTGCAGAGCTGCAGAGCACGCAGCTTCTTATCGTCCTCGTACGGCACAGGCGCTTTGCCAGTTTCTTCTCGGCGAGACGTCCTTGCTGCTTCATGAGGGAAGCTGGGCATCTTCCAGAGATGTGACCTCTATAGGTGGGACACCGTCCTTGTTGCGATTGAGTATACGCAGCATCCTTTTGATACTATAGTTGTAATTTTGCTGGAGCCTTCCTTGGAGGTGACAAGGCTCGTTTCTACAAGCGCCTTTTCCGTGCAGCCTGGAGATGCGAGGCACGGCCGGCCCGCTTGAACACCTGTGCGGTTAAGGCTTATGTCCGGTCCAGCGGATCTTGCAAAAGGGGGGGATGGGGTTTCTCTGCGCAGCTCAGTTATTTGAGCCATGTTTGTCTAGGCGATTTGTAAAACCAGAAAGCAGCTACTAGTAGCCACATTTTGCTGGAAGCTGTTGGTGGCTCTTTGCAAAGAAAAAGTCTTGACATGGCGAGGATTTCTGCTACGACCACACCCTGCGTCGAAGCTTGTTGCGCTCGTTGGCCGAGCCAGATGTCCCGGCTGCCCCCATTGATGGCAAGGACAGACAGCCGTGTGGTGCAACCGGGAGCCTCATGGCTCCGAAACTGCAGGACTTGCTGGGCTTGTCCGGCCACACCGCAGAGATGATGGGCCCGCTGGTGATCCAGAGCCTTTGCTGTGATTTGGTTTGACCTGGGCCCCCCTTGTGTCGTGGAAACCTGCCAAGGATCGGCGGCATGAAAAACATGGTCGCTCCAGATGAGCTGATTAATGTGACGGTTATCAATCTTCACCAAAACACTATCAGCCGTCCCAGCCTCAAGGAGGACATCCTCATGTGCCCTGCACTCTGTGCGAAAGATTACGCCAGAACCGCTCTGCCCCTTCAGCCGCTCTGGAAGGACTCCTTGAAGCCCCTGCAGCGCATGCGCCACGCCACCTGCGTGGTCAAGACGAAGCACTTGCCGGCCTCAGAAGCTCAGCAAGAGCTGGATGAATTGGTATTGACGACGAAATGTAACATTATCCAGAGTTTGAACGCACAACAGCAGTTGAAAGCACCAAAATTCCGATAGTAAATGAGAAGAAGAGGAGCACTTATTCGTTCTTATGGTGGTCACTGATATACAAACCGTCTTACCCACTAAGAGTGATTAGTTGTGATCGATGAGGCTGGTGGTGGTGGTGGTGGTGGTGGTAAGCAGCAGCAGCCCTCGTGGCGGTGGCGGTAGTAGTAGGAGGAGTAGCAGACGCCGCGTTCTGTTTGTAAGCCTGGCCAACTTCTTGTTGGCTGTCGATTCCCAGCTGATGATGGAGCAGAGCCTGGGTTCAAAAAAGCCTGGCCAACTCTGATCGTGAGTTTGCTCGCCGGAGGCATACCCCAGTGCCGTGCTGGTCCTCGGGGGCCACGATGCCAACACCAGAGCAACCAGGTCGGATGGTGAGAGGTGGTAATGTACAACTGCATGGGAGCATCTTCCCTATGCTGAGCAGCAGCACATCATCTGGCAAAGCGGTTTAATCCAGCTGTACTGCATAGCGTGTGTTGCAAACCCTTGCCAAGTTCCCTGTCACCTCGAACTTTCAGTGTTGCATTGCATAAGCTTTTGAAGAGCTGATGCATTTCCGGTATCTACATGGAGGAGTATCCAGAAACCGTACATACGTTGGGTTCTTGATAGACTCTCACTGTGCGGGCACCCTCCCGCAAAGCCCGCACGCCCGACGTTGAATCGATCTTGAGAGGCTGGGAATGCCACGACCGGCTTTGCAGAGACTTGTCTTCCTCCAGGTGACGGAGGAAGATGGTGACCCGTCGGCAACAGCTCAGGAAAGGCTTCCACACAGAGGTCAAATGTTTCGCCACTGAAGGCTAGTTATAGGTGGCGGGTCTCAGTCTCACCGCTTCGGCGCCGTGCGTATGTCCAGAAACCGCAGCTGTCAGCCACCAGGTTCGCAGATTCGCTGGTGTGAGATGCAAGCCTTCGGGACCATCCCCGAGTACATGTACAACTTGACCTGCTCGTCCTTCAACGGAGGGCAGAAGGACAGGACAAGCCTGAAGAAGTTTCAGCTTCCGTTGCATTCTACGGATTCTGCAACGGCTGCAGTGCTGTGATCGTCAGGTAGTGGTGTTTGGAGGCGACATTCCCACGACGGAGGACGAATACGAGCGAATCCAAGACAGAACATGCTGCAATTTCGTGTGGCCTGCTTGCATCCTGATCCCTGGTGCGGAGAATGGATGTTGCGGTCATTGTCGGCCGCGTCATTGTGATGATAGCTGTTCTCATGGTCGTAGTCATAGCATCCCACTTGAGGCTGTCATCGACATCCCCACCCAAACCACCCAATGATTCAGCGTGTGCCGTTGGAGTGCCACACCTTTTTCCCAACAAAGGCTCTTAAGGGCTGACCACATGACAACAGCAAAGCCCACATGAAAGCTTCCTCCACCAGTAGCCGGCCCAAGGTATGTTTTGGATCTGAGGAGTTGCACTTGGGAGGCGGGACGAGAGCTGCGCATATGCCTTACAGGTTCGGTGGTGAAACGATTGCTTGCTAAAGGAATCATCAAGCCATTCCTGTTAAGTACTTGTTGTGGCTGTGGTTGGTTGCAGAAATCAGTCCGTAGCAGTAGCAGCTAGCAATCGTAAGTAAGGCGGAGCAGGAGAGCTGCAACATCCGACGACGCGGCAGCAGCAAGAGCAAACGCAGCAACAATGACAACCGCAGTAGGGGCGCTGTGCTGAGAATCACTTGGCGCCAGCTGCCTGCTTGTTGATGGCGTGGCGGGATACGTTCGCTGGTGGCAAAACGCCGGCATACTTGGCGACAACCCAGCTTCACATAGTCAGGAATGGCCAATCAACATGAATCACATAGCCATCAAGTCCTACTCGTGATCAACGCGGTTCGAACTCGAGGACCTGCAGCCACCTGAAGATTCCGTGAGACTGTGATGTGAATCCGATTTGCATCCATGTGTGCCAGGTTCGCGTGTACAGTATGTTGCGCCCGTGCCTTTGTTACTTGACCAGCCTGTCTTGGACCCTTGGATGGTGAGATGATGTCCAGCAGGAACGCCTAGGTGGGAGCCAATCGTCGGTCTTCCAGACATCCACGAGGTCGGCCAGATGTTAGGGCAGGAGAAGATCACCACAGAGCAGACCAGGATTATTCTGCGTGTCGCATCAAGACAAGCAGGCAAGCTTCTTCTACGCGAACAAGAAGAAAATCAAGACAACGACAGAGTCCTTGCTCGGCAGGGCTTTCTGATTCGGATCCCCTTTGTAGCAACGTCCAGCAGATGCCGCGTCCAGCGACGCCGCAGAAGACACGCATACTGCCGGCAAGCCCATGCAACTTTCAATGAAACACTTGCGGCCTCAGTTGGTTTTGGAGGACAGTGAACCCTACAAAGCAAAAGAGCATCTTGTGGCATTATTCGAAGAAAGACTGTCCATGAAAAGCTCTCAGTTTGCGATATCTGCTACGTCATCGTACCTACGTCATCGTACCAAAACAAGTCATCGAAGCAGCTTAGTAGAAGCCAAAAGCCGTATCTACTAGTATCGTACGAAGAAGCCCTAGTGTGGTCCAGAAGTCCTACTCGTGGTCGAGGCGGTTCGAACTCGTGGACCTGCTCCTGACTGGCGCTCTTTTCACGCCTCTGTCTGCCACACCTCGTGACCTGTTGTTGACCTCTCTCTAGCTTTCTTTTTGAAGGTTTGTGGGGGTTTAAGGAGTTTGACCGGCCTCGAATGCCAGTTCACTTAATGCTATTCTGAAGTTGACAAATCAGGTTCTTGGATGGGAAAGACTACCTGGTGACTTTCGGTGGCACCAGCGAGCACTGCGAGCCGCTGACAGGACAGTGTGGGAGCCTTCCGACCCGACAGGTCATGTCAGACCCAGAGTTGGAATCCTCACATAGACCTGTTGGGTCGGCCAGGAGGGATTCTGGCAGATATGCGTGGCTACCAGCTGGACCTTTCAACGATGCAGTGGCATCGAGGTCCTAGCACGGATTTGCCAGCCCCACGGCTTCGCTTCGGTGTGGCTCGCTGGGGCCGACATCTGATCATCCACGGAGGACTCGAACCCACATCAAACGCTTGGCTTGGCCCTGTCCAAGCAGATCTACTAGCGAATCTGCAGGTGAAGAAGTCAGGCATGAAGGCCGTTCGCTGAGCATAAACACGACGTTTTTCAGACCCGGCACCGTGGAAGGCGCGCAGTTTGGGAAGCTGATGGCGCCCCTTCAACAAAACAGCTCAGGATCCAACTCACGACGATCAGGTAGCGCATCAAGTCCCAGATTCAGTGCCTGCATCAATCAACCAAGCCTTCGTGGATACCAAAGGGATCGGAACTTGGGGTTTCAGGGTCCGAGAGATGAGCTGGGTGAGTTCTGCAACTCACTGCATAGTCTTGGCAAGTCGTACTGTCCGGGCGATGATCCTGAACCGAAGCAGATCCTGAATTGGATGTTAGGCTTTTGCTAGCTGTGGCAATGGTGGCAGGACATGGCAGTGTGCTCAGCACACGAAAAGGTTATGTCGCGCGCCTGAACCTGCACTCCTTGAACTGGGACGACCTAAGCTTCTCCAACGAGCCACCTGCGCTGTCACACGCTGCCTTTGAGACTGGATCTCCGCAGGTTGCGCGGAAGCAGACTGGTTTAGAGGGGTCGAGAAGTGTTGCATAGGCAGTTGTTGTTTCCGCCCCGATCCTGATGTAGTAGCAGATGCTGAGGCTGGTATTGTAGTGGGTGGGGCTCAGCAGACTCCTCGCGGCCCGCGAATACTGCAGCGACTCGTTGTGTTCCGCCTGCGTGATGTGGAGATCCCCGATGATGGGCAACTAGAGGACGATACGCAGCCATCAGCGGACGAGGAAAGTTCCCAGAGTCAATTACGTATTTTTTACAGATAGGTCCATCACGTGCTGAAGCTGTCCAAATGTGTCACAACTTCTCAGGCGATGCGGGTGATGGGTTTCAGGTTCAAGTCCATCTGCGCAACTCCGACGGCAACCACCGTGTCGTCTCGATGCCAGCGGAACTTCTGCAGATGCTTCAGCGCGCCTTGGCACAGCTCAGTTGCACGTCGCTCGATGCCACGGTGCTAGGGCCAGCGTTTGTTTCGGAGCGTTAGCTACAAAAGGTCCAAAAGTGACACTCACTTTACCCATGGTTTGGTGCACCCTCGCAAGGTGAGGCCGGAACAGCCGCTGGCTTGGTGCGGTTGCTCCAAGCCGTTTTCGAGGATCAGGTCGAGGATCCCAACCGTCTGTGATGGCAGCATCTTTTCTTTCTTCTGCCGTTAGGCTGCGTAGTGTTGGCAATGAGCTCTTCGAGATGAACCGAAAGCGCAGGTTGGTTTCGCACATGGTTTACCCAGGTTCGCACTCGGTCAGAAAACCCGACAGCGACCCCCCCCCAGCGTGAACATGACCTCATGTTTCACCTCTTGGGTTCGTCATTATAAAGATTTCGTTTGGGACTGCGCAGAGCATCGAGGCCATGAGCACGGAGCGCAAAGGGTGGCATGCGACTGTTCATCCCGTACTCCGGAAGTGCGATGGAAGAAGCTTAGCCCCCGAATCCCCGATGTGGTGCTGGCAGGACCGGCGAAGCTCCAACCTTGCAGCGCAAGGCTACAGTCAAGGAGCCGCAGATCAGGATGAAATGCAGGAGCAGAGCTGAGCCCAAAGTGTGGCGGCGTTCTGCGCAAGGGCCGTTGTCCTGCTGCAAGAAGCAGAATTCGGCCCGGCCCGAAGCTCCCCATCGCTCGTGGACCGTGCCGCTACGTCAGCGACGCCCAAGCATCAGCCGCACTTGCGAATTGCTGCAGCAAGAAATCATGGGCATTTGCGTGTGAATTGCAGCTACCATTCTGAACCATACTCGGGTGCCAGGCTCTTTGCACCTTATTTTTGCGACTCAGCTCGCTGCTTGCAGGGAACAGAGTGAACCTACGTTTACATGAAGGCAGTACAAGAAGTCTGCCGGCACCCAACGTGTAGCATAGAGCAAAGATGGAAGGCACGAAACAGATGTGCAGTGCGGCAGCAAGAGCGGTCGCAGCAACCCTACGATCAGACCAGACTCCGAGACCACCCAGCTTGTGCCAGTAGGCTAGATCTTTCGCTGGCCTTGCATCGCGAAGCCATGGTCAAGCTTCAGCTGGTTGGGACAGTGATTGCGACACCAAGGGCTCTTGCCTTACCGAGCCCCATCGTTTCTCGTGTCACTGCATGCGCAGTACAGACAAACGGCTAAAGTTCAGCCACTCTCATGCTGCGAGCAGTCAGTCTATGATCTCGCTGACAGCGTTTAGCACACTGTCCACATGAGGCACATGGGTCTGTGGCCGAGTTTCCAAAGACTTTGGGAAGCCCACACCCTTTTAGCATCGAGCATCATCACGACCACGAACACCAGCCCGCCGATCATCCACACTATGAGTTGGACCCGACGAACCTGGAGAGGCAACGCGCACGCTTGATGCTTTGCAGGAGGGTGAGACTGTTTTTGTAGCGGGCTTTCGCCCCTGTCGAGGATGTTCGAGGGAGTGGAGGACACGGCAGTTCATGCCTACCGCCGAAGACATAGCTTTCAGGCCCGGGCAGGACTAGCCGACTAGTCGACGGCAAGGGCGGCTCAGCAGGGGTCTGTGTCAGGCCGCACATCTTCCTCTGGCTCATGGACCGGATGGTGGACCTCCCAGTGGCGGAAGTTCGGCACAACTGGGAGACTTCGAGAACGTGACCCACAGCCGCCACACCTCCAAGGAGCGGTCCCAGGCCCTAGGCGGCGCAGCCGAAAGCTCATAATAGTAATAAAAACAATAATAAATAATAATAATAATAGTAATAATAATAATAGTAATAATCGTAATAATCGTAATAATCGCAATAATCGTAATAATAGTAATAATAGTAATAGGCAGTTGGACTTAGATGCAGTGGAGCTTCGAACTGCTCTGAGAGGACTTGGCTGTGCCTCCTCGGCGTGGCGCCCTCGCTGTGAGACCCTCCCTTCTCTCAGGTCCGGCGCTTACTAATTTGAGACGTCCTGATCAGATCAGCCGACAGCGCATGGATCCTGATGACGCGACCGCTAGTGCTGCCCGCAGGCGATGCAGATCGCCAGCTCGAAGCATTGCTGAGGTAACAGAAGGGTGCAGGGTTTGGATTGAAAGTTGTCGTGGAGTCGGGGACAAAGTGCCCGGAGGTGCCTAACCCCGGCTCAGCCCTAGCCGGGGTGACCTAACAGTCGAGCGATGTACGCTTGTTTGCAGCAGCTGGGGCAAGCGTCTTGATGATAACAACCGAATGGAGATGCGGTTTGCCCAGAGCAGCTTCAATGTAAATGATGCTGAAGCCATCCACTTGTGCAGTTCGACTCCCCGTCAGTGGCGAAAGTCGACGGCTGCAACGGTGCCCCGCTTTTGAGACACTTCCTGTTCTTAGGTAGGGGACAACTTTGAGAGATCTGTCGTGCTGCTCTCCCATCGAGGACAGGCTGCTACGACCTCGTCGGTCATTCCTGGCAGAAGGCATCTGATCTGCAGGAGGGCTGCAGGTGCTCGAATTGAGAGTTGGAGATCCGTGAGAACAGGTGAGAACTTCTGCGCGACCTTAACTCCGCATGGCTGCGGCTACCCCATACTTCTCCCCCCGAGAAATGCGAACGACGTGCCCAGCTTGCGTCTTCGGTCTTGAAGCCTGAACTCCATAAACTTGGGATGGGCGTGTCAAACTGCAGTGCCCATCTCTCTCGGCCGTGTTGGCAAGGAGGGATTCTTCGGCAACAGACCGTCCTTAAATGTCCTAGTTTCCACGGGAGAAGTTCAAGCCCTAATGGGCCCTACCCCATTGGCCCACAGCACAGCACATCTAGACCGACCGGACCTCATTGAGGTCCTACCGAGGGCCTGGAGCCCGCGGAGCTGCTCACAGGCTCCTGCATTCTGGCGCCTACTTACAGGGCAGGGAATGCACATGAACCGATTTTTGTCTCCAAGACGGCGACACTGCTCGCAAGCAGCGTGTGTCGCATTTACACCACGCTGTACTGCCAAGTCAAGTCACTCGTACGACAGCCACGCCGACTGCTGCAACAGCGACAACAGCTGATTGAGTCTCCTACTCCTATATGCGACCAGCAACATCCACCAGGGAAGCAGCCACAGTTTGCTACCGCTGCCACTGCTGCTACCACGATTGCTGTTGCTTCTGCTGAAGCTGCCACTGCTGCCCGCACTGCTACTACTCCTGCTGCTGCTGCTACTACGACGACTACTACTACCGCTACTGCTACTGCTCTGCTACTGCTACTGCTACTTCCACTACTACTACTACTACTACTACTACTACTACTACTACTACTACTACTACTACTACTACTACTACTACTACTACTATGACGACGACGACGACGACTACTACTACTGCTACTATGACGACGACGACTACTACTACTACTACTACTACTACTATGACGACGACGACGACGACTACTACTACTACTACTACTGCTGCTGCTACTACTGCTGCTGCTGCTGCTGCTGCTACTACTACTACTACTACTACTACTACTTCTAACCGCTTACTGCTGCTACTGCTACCAGCACCACGACGACGACGGCTACTGAGCCAGCCTAGCTGCTTCAATCGCCTGCCAACTCCAGGACTCTGCCCTCGTCACGACAAGCCCGGCCTGGAGACTATCACGACCGGGGACCTTCGAGAGGCCTTTAGGGTTTGGGTTTGCTTTCCATGGTCTTGCTACTGTCAGTGGACGCGCGTCAATCAACTGGAGTTTGTTTTCTTAGGGTTTTGGTTTAGGCGGGTATCGGGGTCGGAATGTCTGGAACAAATCCGAGACAATGCGCCTAAGATCGTGTCTAGGTGCTTACCGGAGACCCTTTTGTGTCTGACATGAGTGATGCCAACTAGGCAGTGAAGCAGCTTTTGCAAAATCCGCCCCCTCCCCCCAACCCAGTGCCGATTGCATTTCACCGTGCATTACATCGCCTCTCGAATGTCAGCAGGTCGACACGGTGATCTTCGATTGCGACACTCTGCCGACAATACTGTTTGAGTTGGATTCGAGTTTAAATCGGAGAAGCTGGTTTGCTAGCTGCTAGTTACTACCTGCTGCAGCAGGACGGACTGGTGCTCAATGTTCAGGACAGCCCGCATGAGAGGGCATGATGGGGTAGCAGAGAAGGCAAATCACTAGATCATTTTCATGTACCCTGAAACCTAAGCCCGCCTTGCATAGCGAGACCCTCGAGGATGCGAGAAAGAGAGGGAGAGACAGATCGAAGATGGCTTAGATGACCTTGTCAGTGCAGGAGACGGACCTCAAGAAATCGTCATCAGCATATGCCATGGAGAATGTGGTGGCCTTAGCTTTACTGTCGCAACTGAGCTGTGGATCGCCCTTCGGCTTTGCAGGTGCACATCATCAATGCCATTCTGGACGCTTGCCTGCACGCCACAGCCGAAGAAATCCTCAATAAAATTATGCCAAACCAGTCCGCAAGCGCGTGGTGAAGACGGTTGAATCGCCTGGGCAGGGAGCGGGGAAAAACGTCATCTTCGCAGACAGCGGACACCGGGAGCCCTCCAGGCCTTGGCGGCAGAATCTTCGGTTTTCGAACCAATACGTATTGCAACAGAGTCGTCCTTTGGCAAGGAAAGGCTGTGTGATGGTTGTTCTGTGCGAGACCCGTCTATGTCGGTTCATCTGAAGAAGCCCTGCACAATCCCAAGCTGGAGAATAGAGCATTGCCCAAGGCGAGCTAAGCGACAGTGGTAATGTGCCTGATAGTGCTAGAATTAAGTCGTTGTAGAATCGCAGAATTGGGCAACCACGCGGCTGACAGACCCCTGAGTCCGCGAGAGAGAGAGAGAGAGAGAGAGAGAGAGAGAGAGAGAGAGAGAGAGAGAGAATCGCAGAATTCAGGAACAGCAGCGGCAATGGCCATATTCATGATGATTGAGCAGTGAATGCTACCAGTGCGATACGCTAGGAATACCGATGCTGCTTTCAATACAGCAAGATACATCTAATAGAAGCTAGAATCCCGAGTGCGGCCAGGGCTGCATTCCGGAAGCAACTCAAAGATCGGGGCGTGCACTCGGAGGACGCCGCAGAACTTCAGGTGCGAGCGAAGCCGAGAGGATTTCAATTTCGAATTCAGTACAGTTCGGGGAGGGGAGGCATGTGGAAAGTGACCGAAAGGTTTCAGGGTTTCTATGGCAAGCCTCTCCAGTTGCTGTGCCGAGGTCTGCTTGCCTGTGGATGCCGCGGTCTGGTACATCAGGTCACAAGGCGGTGGGAGTTTCATTGCAGCCTTGCACACTGTCAGGGTATCGGACTTTCGGGGAGGTTGATAGCTCATTCTGTGGCTAGGGCTTCGCTATGGCCAGCTTTCAATGGGGCAGCTGCCAAGTAAGGGGCCACAGGAACAGGTGAGCAAAGGCCTCGAGCTTGTGCTTAAGACGTGCCAGGCTTCCAGAAGCCGCTTGTGGTCTCATCCCAGGCCGCTGCATGTAGGCCAAGAGTTTGTCAACTGGGATCTGGATCTATGAAGAGTACTGACACTGACTTGAATAATCTTGTAGCTGACTGCCTGGCCATTTGCAAAGTGGAGCCAGGTGTCGCTGTTCGAAGAGGCATGACCTATGATG